AACATGTCAAATTACTCACAAACATTATTAAGTTTACAAGAAACAAGAAAAAAGAAGAAGAAGAAGAAGAGAACCCACACAAGTGATGCAGTGGTAAGGTTTTTTTTTAAAAAAACAGAACTAAGTTTGCTAGATATTGAATTCTTCATAACTGAGCTAATGGCCTAACATTGATGAGCTACAAGGAACCTCTGGTGCAATATTGTCTACAAATTGATTCTTGTTTTCTTTTTAGCTTGAGACCATTAAGTCAGGGAGTCCTATTGCTAAACCAACATCGAAATCAGAGGAAAATCTCCTTCAGGCAAACTTATACAAAGATGGTAAGACAAGATCTCTCTGGTTTCAATAAATAACTTATGTGACAAATTTTGAGCTTTTTTGTCTCATAAAAGAAGTAGTGCCTCACAAGGAATCAAACGACGATATTAAGATACCACTATGCTCTTCCACTAAGCTACAGGACGCCCATTGAAGGAAAAGTTGGGCCTTCATAGTAGTAGTATCAGTAGTCTATATTAACTCTCATCTTGGGAGGCTATTCTATATTGAGCAGTTAACAAATTTTTGTTAAGGACATTTTTGCAAGTCCTCTAGTTTCAGAAACAAAGCCAAACCACAACAGTGGGGGCTACATTCCCTACTCTTTGTGAGAAGTGTGTGTGTTTTTAATGTCCCCTGCTAACCAGAACAAAGGAGATGCAAGAGATGGGGCCTATATAGTTTATTATCCTTATCTGAGAAGACTAGAATTGTCCAACCATTTGCAGATGTCATAGCAAAGGCAGCTCACTCTTCTTAGTTATTTTAAGACCATAAGTATTAGTCTGGTCTGGGGCTTGAATGCTTGACCTCCTGCAGGACAGTCCAACCCCCACCTTCCTGAGCTAACAAGGTAATAAAAATTTTCAAAGTGGAAAAGGAATAAGAAATATGGTAATTTTTTCTTTACTCAACATCTGAGACTAAAATTTACCAATCATTTGTTCAATGTTTTGTTAGATGATTCTATACAGGAAGGAAAAGAAAATAAACAAAGCTACAAAGATCTGTTGGAAGGTTCAGTGACAGAGCCAGCCAGAGTGGATGGCAACACTCCAGAAAGAAAGACTACCAAGAAGGCACGGCCCAAGAAGACTAGAACTTTGACAAGGTAGAGCAGTTAAGTGAATAAAGCTGATTAATCAGAAAGATAAGAGTTGCTCGGATTTAGTCAATCAAAAAGTCAGATACCATAGTCAACTGCTGAGAGTATCACTGGAGGTAGAAGAGACATATGTGCAGACAGTCAGATAAAGGTCAGAGAGTCACAAAGACAGTTAGATTGTAATTCAGAGAGTCAAACAAAATCATAATCAGACAGATGTTCAGAGAAACATCAACACAATAGTCTGGTGGAGAACAGATGGACAATTAGTCAAATCCTCTCTATCTCTTATGGGACACAAGGCAACAGCAATCTCTTTCCATTAGCCCTGTTTTGTGTAGTATTTTTTGCATTTTGTGTGAGTTTTACTTCTCCAAGCTCAGCCATGACAATTTGAAAAGTCAACCAGTAGAGGCAGTCACTCAAGTAGACAACTAGCCTTACATGTATACCTTTTCTCATATAGTCATACTGGCACTAGCTAGTCAGCCACTGGTAGCTCTTGACCTTCTGAATCATAATAAATTGTAGTGATCATCACCTTAAGAAAGCCTTTTTTAATTTTTATTTTAGTGAACAAGGTACTCCAGATGAGCCTGCAGAAAAGCCCAGAAGAAGGAAAAAACCTAAAACTCCAGAACCAGGTGTTGATCAAGAAAGGGCAAAAGAAAATCTTGGATTTGAGAATGAAGCAGCTCTGGATGTAGAAGATGTGAGCACTGATATGCATGTGTGATTATTGAGATTATTTTTAAAATATTAACATTATTTTACAATTTTAGCGCCCTATAACTTGTGATACTTGGCATTCCCTTCATTGTTTGTGTGTGCTATGTCCTTTATAAGTGTCATTTTACAAACAAATAATTGTTATCCATAGGCTGGACAATCATCCACTACTACTCCAAAGAAAAAGAAGGGAAAAGTCAGAAGGAGACTTCATGGTATTTAGCCTTTTTGTTTGTTGTTTTTGTTAGATTCTGTCCATGTACAAGTCATAGTTATGACTAATACATTTTGATGTCTCATAAACTTAAATGTAGCTGCAAAGCCGCATACTGGAAACAAGGCAGTTTTTGATTGGTTCATTCTTCCTGCAAAGGGAATTAAACATATAGACATATTCTCAAAATGTGTTCCTTCATGGTAAAGGAAAGATTTTATTATTATTGAGTGGCAGGCCTAGAGAAGATTAT